TATTTTTTGCGTTAGAAAACTTAGTATTACTAAATTTTTTTAGATTTTTTGAAAGGTATATTGTTATTTCAATATTGTGGGGTCTGTTAAACTTTAGGCTCGAGCTCGAGATATGTGGAAAGAAATTCTGGATATTGAAACTAATGGGCGATATGACTCAGGAAAGTTGGCACGCATAATGATGGCACATCGCGATGTGAAACGTGATACTTTAGCTGACTTTTGGGAGAAAAGATTAAAAGATCAAGAACTTCGAGATGAACCGTACCAAACTTCGAGCAAGTATCAAGCAGGACAATGCTGCACGTGTTCACGTGGACCACCTGGTTTACCAGGAGCTCCTGGACGTGATGGTATAGCAGGAAATGATGGTGCTGTTGGTCAAATTGGACCACCTGGCCCACCAGCTCCTTATGGATCTGAAATTCAAAGTTTATTTGCTCCACAGTGCCCTTGTGAATCACCACCTGGTGAACCTGGACCAAAGGGACAACCAGGACCTGATGGTCCACCAGGCCTGCCTGGTCAAACTGGTGAAGATGGAAAACCTGGTGATCAAGGACCAAGAGGACCACCTGGGCAACCAGGTCAACCTGGGCAACCTGGAAGAAGTGGACCACCTGGAGAACCAGGAATATATAGAACTGAAGTCGGACCACCAGGGCGACCAGGCGCTCCAGGTCATCCTGGGCCTCCGGGTGCTGTGGGACCTCCAGGAGCAAATGGCAACGATGGACCAATTGGTCAACAAGGTTCTCCAGGTTTGCCTGGACCACCTGGACAACCTGGTCAAAGTGGACGACCAGGACCAGTGGGACCACCAGGAGAAGCTGGTACTAAAAAAATTTTCCCATTCCATGCCTTATTTTTTCTGTATTCTTTATTAGTGTTACCTATATTATTTATTATTAAATTACCATCAATTTTGTCAGTGATTATATAAATAGACACTAACTGTTTTACTTTTTCAGGTGCACCTGGAAGTTGTGACCACTGTCCACCAGCTCGTCTTGCTCCTGGTTACTAAATAGAGACGCGAACAATGTCAGATGATCAAAAGTTAAAATTAATTTCTGAGTTTCATTATTTAAAAAATAAATAATAAAATTGATCATCCAGAACCATAATATGATAAAAGTATT